ATATGCAAACTATTAACACTTTACTCGATTTAAATTATAAATTGTTTCGAAATTTTACATCTGAATAGAAAGCTTTTATTAGGTCGAGTGTTGTTCTCAGAGAAAATTTTCATTGCTTTTTTTGAAAGAAATTATTTACAAATGAGTTTCAGTTACTACAAATATAAATCTTCAATTGAAAAATGTACGCATGTTTTATCGATATCTAAGTTCTTTTTTTTTTTCTAGGATATGCTTAGTAATCTCTTCTCCTGACAGAGTAGGAAAAGGCCATGGCCTTCTATTTCAGGCTCTTTTTTTCTATCATTGTTGTAAATAACTGTCGGAAAGTATAGATAATGTCTCATAGAAACGCCCTTGTAGTAGAAAAATGAGTAATTTTAATTCAAAATTAAAAACTAAATTTCTGAAGCGTTAAAATCCCGAAAAAAAGGAATCTAATGGGTTTCTAAAAAACGTTTTTGGATAACCTATTGTCTTTTATTCTGTATATGCATTCATATATAAATCCTTACTAATAATATTGATTATCTAAAATAGAAACATGTATTAATTCATATTAGAAGCGAAATTCATGTTTATGACTAATCATTCTTTTAGTTGATGGTATTGGAAAAGAAGATGCAATAGTTTTTAATAAGTCTTTAATTCTATAGCAAGAAAATTATATTCAATCTCGAATATAATAGACACTTTCCTCTATAATGATGGTGAGTAAATAAAGAATATAATTGCTGCTTTCTATTAGCGATAATACATAACAATTAGTTATCTTTTGTTGCCATTGTAGATTGCTCTGATTGATAAAATACAAAAGATATCACTAAAACATGATTCTTCACAATAAAAGTAGCTCTATCGTATTTCACATTTCAATTACATTGAGTAACTTATAATTATTACTAAACCATAATGTGCTTTAACATTGACAAGAATATTTGAAAATTTGAAATATAAAATATTGTTTTTAATTATTTAGATACAATTTAAAAGCCAACGATGCTATTTTAGCAGGTGAAGCACATAAAGGATTGTAAGTGAGGCTTTTTTTTTTTTCTTTCTAATTTATTTAATTAACATTTCGTTTTGACACTTGATTAGAAACGAAAGTTTACTTCGTGATTATCCACATCATCAATTTGTTGCCGGTGGAGCAACACAAAATACAATGCGAACTGCAACAGTAATTGTTTCTTTTTATATCCTTTTCTAAATAATAACTTGTTTCTTTTAGTGGTTACTTCAACAACCTAATGTTTGTGTTTATATGGGTTGCGTTGGTCAAGATAAATATCATCAGTTATTACATGATGCAGCTACTAAAGCAGGTCTTTTACTATCTTATCAAATATGTACAAATTCTGAAGAACGAATACAAACTGGTACTTGTGCTGTTCTTATTAATGGCAATAATCGGTAAGAAAGAATAAAAATAAAAATAAATAATATCTTTTTTTTTTTTATTTGTTTGCTTTTAGATCATTAGTAGCAAATTTAGGTGCTGCTAATCATTTTACAATTGATCATTTAGATAATTCAAAAAATAAACAATTAATTGAAAAAGCAAATATATTTTATACAGCTGTAAAATATTTCAATAAGAAGTCAATCATTAAATAAATATTTATTTTTTTATTTAAAGGGATTTTTTTATACTGTATGTCCAGCTGCTGTTATGCGTATATGTGAACATGCTGATGCAAATAATAAATTATTTTGTACTAATTTATCAGCACCATTTATTAGTGAATTTTTCGGTGATAGATTAATGAAAGCTATGCCATATGTTGATTATTTATTTGGTAATGAAACTGTAAGTTAAAGATATCTTTTTTCTTTTCTTGTTTTTTAAATAGAAAAATAAATAAAAATTTTACATGTTTTTTTTTTTCGATTTTAGGAAGCAGCAAGTTTTGCTAAGCATCAATTAAAATTAGATGTAAAATTTTAATTTTATTTTAATTGAAAATTTTTCTTTTGTATTTATATTAGACTGAAGATGTGAAAGTAATAGCTAAAGCATTGAGTGAACTTCCGAAAAAGAATTCTCAACGTAAACGTGTTGTTGTTATTACACAAGGATCTGAACCAACTATACTTGCTATTAGTATAAAAAAATTTTTTTTTTTTTGAATTTGATTAATCAATTATAAATTTTTAATATTTAGCTGGAGAAGATGTTAAAGAATTTCCAGTTAAAAAACCAATGATAATTGTGGATACAAATGGTGCAGGTGATTCATTTGTTGGAGGTATGAAAATCTTGTTTTTGAAGTTAAATTTGATGGAACTATTAAAAAAAACGTAATAATTTCAAAAAAGATATACTTTTGCTCATTGTAATAAACTGTTTACAGAGTAAAGACAATTTTCCATCTCAAATTCTTAGAATATTGAAAGTGGAAGGATTTCCATGAAAAAATTTTCTTTATCTGACGACAAAGAATTAAGAATACTCGTTTGCTCAAGTTTTTCAATAACAGATTCGAACAAAAATTCTGAAATTTTCAGGGTAGATCTCAACTACTAGAGCAAAAGTTGTTTTAGAATCAGAAATGACTTCAAGTTCTCTACCGCAGATTTTTTATACATCTCGAAGAAAATAGATGAGAAAACTTCAATCTTTCTATTCAAAAATTGATTTTTACACTATATATAATCGCCATGAATAAAAAAAAAAATTTGGATCACGAAAAGCAGGGTATCTTTAAATAAGCACTCACCATTTCATTTCAACAGTATTTAAAAAAAATAACGCTATTTTTTCTCAAGAAAAAAGTTACATTGCAATGGAAGGGTACATGTATATTAATTTACAATTCCTTTTTTAGCCACATTTGCAAAAGTTTGAAAAAAAAACAGTAGTCGTGAAAATTCAGCTCACCTTCTATTTGCTCTTCAACAATATTATTTTTGTCGTAGTTCGAAAGATTCTTATGGTTTCTCTGCTAGGTGCTGCATGTCGATACTGTTATATTAGTGATATGAAACGAACGATTCGAATTCTACAAACAGTCGATTACAGAGCTTATACTTACAAACAACTAGAAGAGTTGAGTTTGAAAAAGATTCTATTAGACTAGATTATAAAAATAATTTATCAAGGTCGAACTAGTTACTAAGATATTATAACTCCATTATTCATGGTTCATTTTTTATCTGTTGCATTAAGAGTATAATCGATCAGATTGAAATTTTCATCATAGATAGCACTGGAATAAGGAGATACGTGTTTGAAGAGAAAAAATTTCCAGAAGAACTCTAGTTTCGTAGAGGGCAACATCACACTTTATTAGATTCGGCTGACAATGTTTTTTTTAAAGGTACTTTAGAGGTATTTTTCAGTGTTTTCGCGAATTTGTTTTTTTTTTTGATGAGAAAAATATGTCAAATTTCGAAGCCGATACCGAAGTCTTGATTTTAAGAACTCTATAAATCCCGATGGAAAAGTGAAAAACAAAAATGGCCTATTTTAAGTTTAAAGGATACTTCCAAGTATCTGTGGTAATAATTTCAGCATGATTGGACAATTATACTAAGTAAAAGAAAAGAATTCCAATGTGATTAGTATAGAAAAAAAAGATTTAAATTCAGTGACTGTATAATAGTAAACTTTTTAGAGTTGAATGATGTCTCTAACTGTACACGATACTGGTCTCTATTATACCTTATGATCAGATCGAAGTCGTGTTATTTTGTCCTAAAAAAATACGGAGTATCATTAAGCTACTGCGCGTTGTTTAAATCATGTATTATTGTTATTTTACATAGATATTTGTTCAATTCTTATTATTCTCTAATTAATAGTTATATAATCGAAAAATATCCTTTCCCTAATTATCTTTTTTCTACAAGTCCATACCGTATTCAATTAAAATATGTCTCATGTGATCATCTCATTTCAAATTACATGACTTCTTTTTATGCTTATCAAAACACTCTTCTATTTCCTTTTACGTGATAATATATTATTAGCATAAAAAAAAGACATAGAAAAGTAGGTCAGGTTGATAATAAAGTATAACAAGTATGGACATGCTGTGTAATTCAACAAGTTTTCATAGATGAGTGAGATCTATCTGAATTAGATCTGTGCAGAACCACAGCAGAAAACTTGATCCCGCATATCTGTAGTCTGGAACGTTGCTTTTCATGGTTCAAGTATTGGATAAGATCTTTTGTTTCGAAAGTTTTTTTTTTATACTTGACAAAAGACATATATGTGCAAGAATAGTTAATGCAAGAAAATAGACAACAAGGTTTGTGTTATGAATTCTTTAAAGTTTGTTTTGACACTCACTGTCAATCATAGAACAGAGAATAAAATTGATTGAATGAAACGTATGTTCCATATTATATTTAAGAATAGTTTATACCTAGATCTGTGTATGAATACTCTAGACTATAGGGTAGGATAAGATCAGCATAAGAGAAATATACAGTAAAGCTTGCACATCAAAACATACTGTGTTCTATTCTGTATTGTAGAGTAGAGTTAGGATAAGAAAAATATTGAGTATGACTATGAAAAAAACTTACCTTGCACATCTATGATAATACGAAAAATTCACCGATGTATTTCAATCGTCTTATACCACTGAATGATCATGTTCTAAATTGCTTTGTTTGTTTTAGGTTTTCTTGCTTATTTGTCTCTTGGTAAAACTGTGGAAGAATCAATTCAAGCTGGTGCTTATTGTGCATACGAATGTATTCAACAATCAGGTTGCACATTTCCCGAAAAACCAAATTTTGATCCAACAACATTTGTTGTTTGAAAAGAAAATGGATGCTCAAGAGAATAATTTCATTCCTACATGAGTCCAAAATGAATAACATGAAAATCAAAAAAAAAAAAAGAATTTTTCTTTTCTTGTCTTTCACTTTATAATGTTGAGTTAAGAATGATTTTAAAAAGTTGGTTTTAGATTTTGTTTTTTAATCAAATGAGAAATATTTCAATATGTAATATCATAAATTGAAGACAGAAAATATTTCATATGGAAAATAACAGTAACAATAATCGAACATCATCTAATGTAAATTCATCATCAACAACAAATTCAAGTACAACAACATTAAATTCAACTTCAATGGTATCTTCATCAGCATCAACACCATCATCCGGTTCAACAGCAACGATTCGACAAAGTCATAAACGAACTTTTGCTGAATCAGATTCATCATCCCGAACTGAACGACATTTATGTTCATTTTCTCATTTGTGGATTATTAAGTAAGAGAATATTTTCTAATGAATACAAACTGATAAACAAGATTGAAAATTGTTTACTGAAAATCAATTCTTTGAATAAATATATCATTAAAAATTTAATATATTTAAGTTACGAGAGAATCAGATTTCATAATACAGGATGATTTTTGAATTTAACTATTGAATAACAATTTACACCATCAAAAGACTAGCAACAAATGATTTTCAATAAAATAATTTAATTGTTATCGATATGATTTGAAAATATAAATATAATGATGTTCAATATTTGAAAGTTGGTCTTATATTCGACATACAATCAGTTGACGAAGGGTCATCTTCAATTGCTGAATATTGTTTCATTCTGTTTCTTAGCTCTTGAGTAACTTTCACTAACAAGGAAGCGTTTCCAATTGTCTAATCGCTTTTCACTTGATACAATTACCATTCGATTAGTTATGATGAGTAGTGAGAAAAAGTCTGTTTTGATTCGGCTTTTCACTATTTGCTGGTTTAGGTGTGAGTGTTTTACTTGATTTTTGTCCTAGGAGCATGGAATTCTTGAATCATCGAATTGGAAATTTGAAATGTTGTCCACAGATAGACTTTATAATCACTAGAAAGATCCAAAAGTTTGATCTTAGACAAATGTATCCATATCGAGATATCAGCTTATAATAAGACACTTCTCGTTTGAAACACAATTCAAAATAGACTTTTCATTTTAAAGTTTGAATATCTCAGCAAGAATGTTTGTTCTAATTACACTTTGAAATCTTTCTAATGACTATGAAGCCTGTTTATGGCAATATTTCAGCTCAAAATTTGATAATTCAGTGATTCTATGCTCATAGTGCAAGTGTCGAGTAAAATATTTATAATGCAATAAACGAAAACAAACATTATTACTATTCATCACAACCGATTAAATGACAATAATCTCAAGCGAAAAATGATCGAACCATTTAGAGTAAAAGAGGTTTAGATTTCTGGTTTTTCTGTGGTAGATTTGGATCTGCTTCATTTTTCTAAACATATACGATTTTTTTCTTAGTGATATTTGTTGAGTATATTCTTTCTATTTATAGTCAAGATATATGAAACTAAATAAAATTCTTAAAACTGGTTTTTACATATCTAAACTTTGTAGTTCTGAATTACAGTTTTATATCTGATTCCACGTTCTTTATATACTAACGCTAATAAGAATGCAAGCAGTGGTTTATATAGAGAATTTTCGACGATGAAAATGATCAGTAGTTTTCGAAGGATACGATGTCTGAAAAACCGTAATCCAAGTTTTTTTTTTTACTTCGTGGGATTGTTTTTGCATTACCAAAAACAATTCTCTACAAAATGAAACGTCTTTCTGTCCTCAACGATCATTTTTAGTGGTGATATATCAATTTGATGTAGGGCGCGAAAGCCGCTATTTCGTATGGGAATTTGTTTTTTTTTGTGCTCTCCGTAAAATTGAAATATCTCTCGATGAATAAAATTGTAGAAAGCAACAAGACGTTTCATTTTGTAGAGAGTTAAATTTGGTAATTCAAAAAGAATCCTAAGAGATAAAAAATTTGAATTTCGATTGTCTATAGACCCTATTTTTCAAAAATTTTTCTTGAGAATAAAATTTTCTATACAAATCACTATTTAGTTTCTTCTTAGTGTTTTCAACAGTGGATAAAACTTAAAAATAATCTATGTCAGATAAATTTTGGAGGCACTCAATATAAAAAAAAATAAATAAAATTTTGATTAAATGTTTATTTTTCTTTTAGTTATCTATCGTCATATATCGAGGATTCAAATTTTACTTGTCTTCAATCGGAAACATTTTCACCTGTTAATACTCCTTATTCAAATACTCGTTGGAGTTTAAAATTATATCCTCGTGGTTTAAATGAAAAACAACATACAAATAATAATATTGCAATATTTCTCAAATATGTTAGTGGTACAATGCCAACAATAAAAGCTAAAGCAGAATTTAGTGTTGTTAGTCGAAATAATGAACTTGTTATGTTACGTTCTACAAATTTTCATACATTTTCATCAGGAAATGATTGGGGTTATTCAGGTAACAAATAATTTTTTTTTTTTGAAAAGTTTAATTTGTTGTTCTTTTCTAAAGAATTTCTCGATGGAAATTATTTAAATTCTCGACGTACTGATCTTTTAACGGATGATCGTCTTCGTGTTTATGTTCGTGTAATATTAGTCGATGAAAAAGAAACTACAACAGGTGATATATTTCATTCATCTCATCACTATCATCACCATCACCACCATCATCATCATCATCATGCATCACCAATTTTACCTTCTCCATTACCTCCACATCCCATTCAACAACAACAAATAAGTACTATTCAAAAAACTCAAGCATCAACATCATCATCATTGGCATCATCATCATCAACAACATCAATAATAAGTTCTAATTCATCGAATGCATCATCTACATCTTCAATAGCTGTATCTGGTTTATTTAATGATGATAAAGAACGTTTTAAATCATTAGAACTTTTATCAAATCAAATAAAAGCACTTTTAGATGATGAACGTTTTACTGATGTACATATTCATGTTATACCTAAACAACAACAACATATGAATGATGATCATCGAAGATCAAATCGATTTAAACGATCACTTATGAAACAACAGCATCCATCATGTTCATCATGTCATTGCACATCAGAAAAAATAAAATCTATTTTAACAAATAATGAACGAGTATTTGATCATCATCATGAACAGTCATCATCAGGTAGGATTTAAAGAAACACTAGAAACATTAAAGATATTTGTAAAAAGGCAAGTTTTCATAAGAGAAGTTTATTGTAAAAGTTTCAAATCCTTTTGTTATTCCTATTGTAAGATACATCCAGGATAATAGTATAACTTTTAAATTGTTCATATATATCGACCGATTCGATATTCTTATTTCAAGATCAGAATACATTCAATGACTTGAAACTTTCACAATAAACTATAATTGTTAAAATCCATCTCTTTACAAATTTTCAAATCATTAGTCGAAAATCAGATTTTTCTAGTATTCTCAAAGAAAACTATAGCATTGACTTATAAATATCTTAGAAAATGTACTATCTTCGCTCCATTAAACTAAGAATCCGAATGTTTTTCATGATATTCATAGATCATTACGTTCTACATAATGCATTTAGTTTTGACTTAAAAGCTATTAATCACTTCGGGAAACTTTTCTTGTTAGTTATCTCAGAAGAATTGTATATACAAGCAGTAAACACTTACGTTCTGATAAAAATATTCATTAAATTAAAATATTAAAAATCGTAAGTACTAGTTTTACATCATTTACATGTTAATGAAGCATTACAAGTAGTATATATCTTACCAGGTGTTCTCCATGTTCTAGAAAAATGACTTCTAGTATAGACTATTAAATGAATAATATACATTATAGTGTTGATAATATGATTGATAGATAAAGAATTTTGACAAATAATTTTCTTTGGAAATAATCAATTTTTGCAAAAACTTTTAATGATTTTGATAAATTTTTATATTATTCATTAATAAAATCCTATTCAATCATAGATTATCTTCAATGAATATAAACATTGAAAATCAAACATGATTTATCTTAATAAATTTTTGCTTTTTATTTTTAGTTATTTCTAAAGATTCTGAATCAAATACTATCGCAAATGATTCTCGTTCATATCAAACTTCGTTAACACGTCGAGCAACACGTTCAACAACATCATTACTTTCACGTATGGCTCAAAGTTCATCTGAAATCAATCATTCCTTTTCCAATTATTCTACATCATCTTCTCATGAATCTTCATCAGACATTTGTTCATCGTCTTCCATATTATCATTAAATTCAAAACGTTGTTTATGTATATGTCATAATCAAGATAATAATGATCTAGACATTACATATGATATTCAACAATCTCATATAAAATATTCTAATATAACACCATTAGCTACATTTCATGCACATAAAGCTATATTAATAGCACGTTCATTATCATTTGCTAGTCAAATACGTTTAAATAATCTCAATGGATCAAATCATAATTTAAAATCACCTCCAATTAATTTATATATTGATGATCTTGAACCATCAACTGTTCGAGCTATGCTTATTTATATATATACAGGTCGTTTACCAACATCAAATGATGAAATACATAATAATTTAAATCCAATTGATTTATTTCGTGCTGCTGTTAAACATGATTTAAATGAATTACGTGATTTAACTAAATCTGTTATGTTAGATGTATTAAAAATAGATAATTGTATTGAAATGCTTGAAGTTAGTGATCAAGCAAATGATATATTACTTAAACAACAAGTTTTAGCATTTATACGTTCAAATGCATCAGCTGTATCTAAAACCGCTAATTGGTTAAATTTTACTAAACATAATCCACATTTAATAATTGATGCATTTCGTTCACTTGTAACACCAACAATAACAAATACAACAATAACGAAGCATAATAATAATAATAATAATAATTTAAATCATTATCATCATTCAACGTCATTAACAACAACAACAACAAGTAAATATTCAAAATATGATTGATTGATAAAACGCAATAGAAAACATGTCTACGATTGTTTTTTGTATAGTCATATCGAATGCATAAGAAAAAAAAATGTTGTCTTGTTCGTATTGTTGTTTCTTTTTTTTGTTTTTTCTTCGATCACTATTTCATTTTCTTTTTCTTCGTCATAATATATCTACTTGAAAAATAAACCTACACAAAACAAAACAAAATTTTGATTTGGATTATATATATATGATATGATATAAAATCTGTTCTTTAGTTTTAGATTCTTTTTTTTACATGACTAATGACTTGTTTTAGATGATAATACGAGACAATGAATCATGATGATTAGTTTTTGTTCTTTGGGAAAAAAAGAAGAATAGGAATGATTCATCAATTTATCATAGAATATTACGACGTATAGATGATGAAATGCATATAGTCTATGGTTATCATAGTCGAACTCGGATTCTAACTGACGAGAGTACGTATTTGATTGTTTAATCGCTTTTGAGTTGAGACTATGTGTATTTGATATTCTCTCAATGAAATTTTCTAATTGTCTGAGAACAACTTGATGAGCTCTTTTATGAATATCCTAAAAAGAGTTCGGGCTAATAGCTCATGACTGTTGAGATACTGTATTTTTTAGCAAGGTACCGTTGTTCCCCTCAGAAACATCATGAAAACTCATTTTCAAATTTCTACTCGAAACTTTGTACAAAAGTAGACCTTAATGAGAGTAGTTTATTGGGAAAATCTCAGTTCTTTTGATTCATTTCTAACAAGAACATTGCATCTACCATTATATATGAATGATGTAAAATACACGATTGTACCATAGCTATATCTTAACATAGATGCAATGAAATGATTTGAAACAAGAACAAGAGACTATTCTCATGGAGGCTTGCTTCTCTGCAAAGTTTCCAGTCGTCATTCGAAACTTAGTTCATCTAGTGCTTCTAAGAAGAATCACAGCATTCTCCTAAATAATATGGTACTTCGGCAGCAATAATAGATTTGTCTGAACTTTTTTCAGGATATTCATACTTCATTAAAATCTACATGATGCATATAGTCCTCACTCCAAAGCGATTTGATACTTAGACACGTTTCCTCATGAGACTAAAATTTAATTTGTATTTTCGTTCTCACTTATGAGGGAACATTCCCAAGTGTCACATCGCTTTTGAGTTCAGACTCTATGCATAAGGTAGACCCCAGTGAGGTATGAAAAATCCCAGAAGAATAAATGTCCTTAGGTCTCCTGTCTAGAGTTATAGGCATTTTACTGAAATTTTAGCCTTTGGCATGGTATATATCGACAAATAGAATGACGATATTTCGACCTGAGATTTTGCCCACAGATAGATCTATTTGTGAGTAGAATACCCTGAAAATTTCAGCTCAAAAGAATGTTTTATACCTGAGATATTAAAGTTCCAAAAATCAGTCATATCCCACGAAAGATGCTAGAATTTACTGTTTTTTGGGACTTTAATATCTCAGGTATAAAAGATTCTTTTGAGCTGAAATTTTCAGGGTATTCTACTCACAAATAGATCTATCTGTAGGCAAAATCTCAGGTCGAAATACCGTCATTCTATTTGTCGATATATACCATACCAAAGGCTAAAATTTCAGTAAAATGCCTATAACTCTAGACAGAAGGCCTAAGGGTACTTATTCTTCTGGGATTTTTCATATCTCACTGGTGTCTACCTTATGCATAAAGCCTGAACTCAAAAGCGATGTGACACTTGAGAATGTTCCCTCGTTAGAAGATTTCTTCTAATAATCGAATCGAATTCTTTCATAATTAACTTATTAGGTAATGTACTCAAAATACTAGTACTAGTGATTTTATATAAAATATATATAATACCGTACGAGAACTGTAGTCATCTTTTGATATTTCACAATAAATATTGACATAAACCAGACCTTGAGAGTTTATTATTTCGAAAATTGTCTATTATTAACTTGATAAATTTAGACACGACAAAAAATGATCGTTATGTAAAACTTATTTAGATAAGCTTTTATTGTGTGTAATCTTTAACAAAAACTGTTAATATAGACTCCATGAAGATTTATAATTATATTTCATCAGTATTGAAATATATTACATAATATTGGTAGTAGTGTCCTATATTACAATCATCAATTTGTTCGACAAATAAATGTGTCCTTTCACTTTAATTGATTTTTTGTTCTGCTTCTTCACCTATTCAGATCAGCTGGTGGCAGTAAAAGAAAAATGAAGCCATTTGAAGAACAAACACGTCCTTTTCTCGCTTTCGCATGAATGAATATATTCATTCACTCTCGTCAAAGAAATCGATCATTTGCTTAGTGATCCAAGAGAAAAAAAAGAATAACATATTACTAATTTCAGATGTTTATGGCTGTCATGACTTTTTGAATAATATTCAATTAATAATTCATATTATATAAATAAAACGTTTATTTTTTCTTTTTTCGATTTTTCATATTTTCATTTTAAATTAAACATTTATGGAAACTACGACAACAAACTCAGGCAATGAAGAACATTCACCAATGCTCACATCTTCATCCTCGAATTCCTTAGTAACATTGACAAATAATCATTCAAATAAATTTTCCACACCTGATTATCAAGAAACAAGTGATAGTTTTTTAACAATATTTTCTACATGGGACGAACGTGAACAATTAAATTTTGTTGAAAATCTTCTTAAACATATGCATAGTCATCAACATGGACAAATAAATGCTTTTCTATTACCTATGTTACAAAGAGATTTTATTGGACAATTGGCAGCACGTGGACTAGAACATATAGCAGAAAAAATTCTTGGATATTTAGATGATCAATGTTTAAAATCAACGGAACTTGTGTGTCGTGAATGGTATCATGTTATATCCGAAGGTATAAATTAGATAAGAAACGAAAATTGATTGTACATAGCTACAAGTTTCATACACAACTTGTTTTTTTTTCAGTTGAATTTTTAAAATTTTAAAATTTATCGATTGATCATTTAAATTAAGAGAGTATTCTAAGTATTTTCCATGTAAATCGAAAGAAATTTATTTTTTGTCAGGAATCATATAAAGTAAAATAAGAAAAGAAGCAGACATATGGATATTGACGCATGAAATTTACTTTGTTTGTCATGACACTGATGAGAATGGAATATTTTATATTCTTAATGGTTTCCTTTATGGATGTTAAAGTTTAATTTTTTTTGCAATTTTTAATATAGTTGCGATGTATCTTTTACGAAATGCTATACTATGATTATTCTTTGTATGCAAATTTTCCCCTGGTGAAAATATTGAAATTCTTCCATATTCAGAGATCCCAATCATCGACATCACATTGACAGAGAATTGTGATATAATAGATAACAGTAGATGAAATCGTTCTGCATATATTCTCATATTGTTCTTTAAGTATTAGTCAACAATTGCTAGCAAGAAATGTATATTCAAGAAGACATACAAGATTTCAATTATACATGGAATTATCTCTTTTGTTCTTTTATATTTTCGATATGTTGAATACTGAGCATTTAAATAGTGACTTCGTTCTTACTTTCAAAAAGTCATTAATTCTTTTGCTGTCAAAAATAATTATTTTAAATAACTCAGTGGGAAACCAATTGAATTTGATAGGCAAATTTCTTGGTATCGTTAATAACTTTCATTCAAATGCTTTTTAGGAATGTTATGGAAAAAATTGATCGAACGTAAAGTTCAATCAGAGTCTCTTTGGCGTGGTCTTGCTAATCGTCGTGGTTGGATTAAATATCTTTTCCGTCAGATATTAACATCAGGCGAAATACAAAAAACTCATGAATTTTATCGTCAATTATATCCAAAAATACTTCAAGATATTGAACAAATTGAAACAAATTGGCGTGCAGGAAATTTTCAATTAGAAAAAATTCAATGTCGTTCACAAAATAGCAAAGGTGTTTATTGTTTACAATATGATGATGAAAAAATTATTAGTGGTCTTCGTGATAATACAATTAAAATTTGGGATAGAAAAACTCTTGAATGTACAAAAGTTTTAACTGGTCATAATGGAAGTGTTTTATGTTTACAATATGATGAAAAAGTTATTGTTACCGGTTCATCTGATTCAACAGTACGTGTATGGAATGTTAAAACAGGAGAATTAGTTAATACATTATTACATCATTGTGAAGCTGTTTTACATCTTCGTTTTTTCATTGGTATAATGGTAACTTGTTCTAAAGATCGTTCAATAGCTGTTTGGCAAATGAATTCACCAACAGATATAAATATTCGACGTGTTCTTGTTGGACATCGTGCAGCAGTTAATGTTGTTGATTTCGATGAAAAATATATTGTTAGTGCTAGTGGAGATCGAACAATTAAAGTTTGGGTATGAATAATTATATTTATTTTTGATGTTTTTTTTCTCAACTTGTCTATATTTATTATAGGATACAACAACTTGTGAATTTGTACGAACACTACTTGGACATAAACGTGGTATTGCTTGTTTACAATATCGTGACAAAATTGTTGTTAGTGGTTCATCAGATAATACAATTCGCATATGGGATATTGAGTGTGGTGCATGTTTACGTATACTTGAAGGACATGATGAACTTGTACGTTGCATTCGTTTTGATTCTAAACGAATTGTTTCTGGAGCTTATGATGGTATGAATAAAGCAAAAAAAAAAACCAAACAGATTTGAGAATATAAGGATTTATTCTATTTCTTTTTGTTTTTTGTTTTTCATGATAGGTAAAATAAAAATCTGGGATTTAGTAGCTGCATTAGATCCACGTTCTCAATCATCTTTATGTATTCGTACATTAACTGAACATACAGGACGAGTATTTCGTCTACAATTTGATGAATTTCAAATCATATCAAGTTCACATGATGATACGATACTTTGTTTCAATTTTCTTAATGATTCACCATCTATAGAAAATTTAACAACAACAGCAACAACAACAACAACAGCGATAAATAATACCTTATAATATTTATATTATATATACGATGCAATTGTCTTTATGATCATCTCATGTTTCTTTTGGCTTTGTCTTTTATTTTGACTATGTAGTTCTTTCTTGAAACGTGTCTACGTGTATATTTGATCTTTTTCTTGTCTTTTTTTTCGTATACTTGTCCTTTTTAAACTGTGCAGTGTCTGTTTCGTTTGTCGTTTTTTTTTGTGGAGTGAGTATATTGTCTCCGCTGTGAAATGTACATTTAATTTGGACAAAAAAAAAAATAACATGCAAGAGGCCTGCTAACAGCATTTCTGGACAAAAGTTATGTTTACTTTATAGTATCAAATGAAGAATGACGGATAGAAATCATTTTCTATGATTTCATTCCGCTCATTCAAAGTTCAATTATTGATTTTTTTGTAATCTATTTCGAAATTGTTTTCCACAACCATTAAGAAGAGCTTAAATTCATATGGAATCAATCAGAATTCATACAATGAACTAAGACTAATCTATGATATAAAAAGCTGTTAAAAGCCAGAGAAAAGATTACTTAAATGTAAGACTTCTTGTACATGAAGATTCACTTTTGGTGATAGTCGTAAATAAATTTTCCTGCTTTTTTTCCAGCTATAAAAGCTTTCTTATTTCTAATGCCACCTGGAATCGTATGCAGGGTAAGCTATAAATAGCAGTTCGACAAAAAATTGCAATATCCTCGCTTTGATTCACTCGAATGAATTGATATTTTGGTTGGTGGTAGAAACTTATTTAAAATTTTTTTCATACAGACAATGGAAAATAAATGCTACTGTCAAGTTATAGTTTTAGTCTTACTACAGAAATATTATCTATTGTCAAGTAAGCAAAGTACAAATGAAGCGTTTCACCGATAACTTTCAGTTATCATCGAAGAGAATAATAAAAAAAATGTCAAAATAAACTATATTGTTGCATACAGCAAGTTTTCGAAACTGGCTGCCAGTTTAAATACTGAAATTCGTGTACCATAAGTAAAACGCATTATTGTAGCTCATTGGACATCAAGTTCGTTGCAAAAACTAGTATACTCTGTTTGAACATTCAAAATATTGTAATCATTGACTTTTAAACGAAACTTTTCTCCACATATTAGTAGATTCTCCTGAGAAGAATGATGTGAAACTGATGACAGAAGATTTAGATCTTGAAAAAAAAAAACATTTCGTTTAAATTGTTTTAGTTTCTTTTATTCGTTGAATTATTACTGAATTGTATTTGTTAAACAATAAAAATTACGAAAAAATAGAAAAGTAATAGGTTCTCTATGCATAAACACAATTTATTTTCTTTCGAAAGAAAAAAATCCTATTTTTAGCTACAATGAGAACGAGAGAAAAAGATGAGCTTATATATGGTTTGAGAAAGAAGAGAGCGATTAATGTTAAACTTCATTTGTATCATCATTAATATACATAGAATGGATATATAAAATATCAAGGAACAACATCTTGCATTCAATGACGGAATTAGAGGAGGAATGCTGAGACCGATGGTCTTCAGGGTAAACGATTTGTCTCTGTTTATCTTAGAAGAAAAGGCATAAAGATAAACTAATTCTACCTCTAATAAGCCTCGAAATGCGTTGTATGATCATAATCACTCCCTATTATAAAAATTCTTTATCCGCCACCGTTTGTACTTCTTTGTGACGATGAAAAATTAAATTTTTGGAGATTTGTGACTGTTTTAATGACGACTCAGGTGTTGAAATTACTTCGAACATTGATGAATGTGAAAATGAATTAGTATGTTTATTCACATGTCATCAATTAGAATCCGAAGATGACAAAGATGATAATAAGAAAGAAAAAGAAGAATATAATGAAAAGAAAACAATGATCGAAAGAAATAAGAACTGACATTAATAGTTATACATCATTAGTTTCAACCAAATGAAACAGCTCAGTTTAGGAAAAAGTAAAACTCAATTGTAATTCATTTTTTTGTATATTTATATTACTAATTACATTGAAGTTGATCAATCCTTTCAAAAACTGTGCTCATTTTACTGTTTTCATCGTTGTGCAGAACAACCATGTAGTGCTTCTTGCAGCCTAATAACTTATTAATAGTGTAATGTCATGAGTACGAACTTTTTGAGAACCTTCTTCTATGGCTAAACATAATTATCTGTACAAATTTCAAAGATGAATTTTGCACCAGAAAGAAACGGGACATAGATAATAATCTTGTTAGATTCAAGAAAATAAGCTTATCTTTTGAATGAAGAATGAGTCAAATTTTTTATAAGATGCAACACAAAATTTCATAGACAATCTTTTTTAGGTTATAATGCTCAGAGCAAAGAGCTAGATACCGTCCATCATAAATCTCTTTGTAACTGAGTAATAATGCCGCTGAAATAGCAATAACATATATTCTTGGTAAAGTACGTGTACACAAACTTTCAGGCTTCCAGCAAATACCTCGGTTGTGATCGACTGAAGTCAAGACTTTTTCACTACTGGACATCAACATAGTATCATTCGTAAAGTGCATGTTGATTCCTTCTTGTGCTCTTAGATGATAACGAAAAGTTAACTATGAAAATCTACATCTGTATTTTTCTTATTTGATAACCGACACAATTACTTTCATTATACCAACAATAATACTTGACAGTAGTTTTTGATTACTTTAAAAGAAAACTTTGAATAAACTTCTACTGTTTACCAATAAATCAGCCAATTTAATTGAATCGGCATGAAGATATTTCATTGGTTTAGTCGTAGTACTTTTCATGGTTCACCCTGCGGTACTAACTCTAATGCTCTTCTCATTCCATAATCAATTGAAGGAACCGTTTCTTTTTGTTTGTCATTATTTTTACGAAAGGAAAAAGTGATTTTCTAAGTAAAATGTTAGTTATTTCTAATAGAACCATAAACTAAGTTTACATTCTTTAAATATCATTTGGGCATTTAAATTATCTTTTTTTTTGTTTTTGTAATTAAATTTCATTTATTCATAATGTCGCTTTAGCTTCACTCAAACTTAGCGAAAAGGGTGAACTCTTATTCGACAAAAACGGATTCCCGTTAATATGCGTGTTCCACATTTGATAATTCAACATTTCTAACAATTTTCGCATGAAATGAAGTCAAAAACTGTTTAACAATTAAGATTTTATAAAAGAAATCTTATATACGTATGGTGAGAGTTTCGATAATTGATATTGGTAAATCTATGAATAATACTTTATATACAATGCTCTAAACTTAAAATGTTGACAAAATAACTAAGCAAACTGATAGATAAATATATACAGTTAGATCTTAGCTGTCAATACAATTGACTAATGCATATGTAATTTTGTTGACATGTAAAACAATTAATCATAATGAACTAAATTAGTTTCATTAGAAATACAATCTCGAAGAAAAAATGATGAGTGATTGAAGAAATTATTAATTTAAGAATAGTGAAGAATTCAACACTTTTACTATTTAACTTGTGAATTAATCAATCGTAATATATCATTGTGTATAACATAATAAAAGAAATATAATATGAGTTGATTTTTCTTTTTTTCAAGAATACAAAATATTCTAGTGCGTTGTCTATTTTTAATATGACTGATGATAGTTTGAAAATTATAAATTTTTTTATGACATGCAGTTCATATGTCAAATATATTTATTACTGACTAGTTTATTGGTTTGACACCATGGAATAAAATAGAACATTGATCAATTTATATTTAAGGTCTTTTATATATGTCATTTAATATAATTCATTTAAGAACAATATTTTATGAACTCAAATTGACGTGTCCATTTTGCATGTTCTTTCACGTTTTTATCCATCCATCATATGATTATCTTGCTTACCATGTGTAAATAATAAATCACGAAGAAGTGTATGCCATTTCCTGTTTTCTGTTCGACTAAATATTCAAGAAGTTATTTGATAATCTATGACAATCAGTTGATAACTGAAGAAAAGAAAACTTTTCATGGTATGTTGATTGAATTGAAAATCTTCTATTCTTAAATATTACAAAACAAACGACACCTAAGAGCGAAATCTTCTTATAAAGAATCAGATAACGTTCGGTCTCTACCTATATTAATAAGACTTATCGAGGAAAAGACCATCTTTTTTGAAACACTTGATTATAATTTTAGAAGATACATATTGTATTTTTAAAGTTACTAGCTTCATTTTCTAAAGATTGATTTATTCCTGATGCTTCGAAAAAAACCGAATATCAATTAGTTGGAAATGTAGTTCTGTTTCTTTTCTTATTGCATTTTTTTCTTAGTTCTATATTTATCAGTAATTCTAAAAGCTTCTACGAACTACTTTCATCAACATACGCAAGAGCGAGCAAATAACCAAATTATACTTATGGTAATGAAAATTTTCTTTTTTTTTGTTTCATTACATTTTTTTGACTTACTCGATTAATCATGATTAAAAAAAATGAAAAGGCCTAGCTACTTTGTAAAATTCTTTTTTGTTAAGTCTTCTTTATTATTCTTTTATTTAAATATAGATGATCTATCTTCCAATGTACTATCTGAATAATAATAACATCAGGTATCGAGTGCTCCATTTCTAATTGAATTCATGTATGACATGATCAGCCTTCATCAACATGTCAGTTACAGAATACAAGTGTAATAAATATCGAAAAGAGTGCTTTTTCTGTTTTTGGTTCGTGACATTTTTGTTTGAAAGATATTATAAAATCAAAAAAAAGGAAGTATCATTAACAAAAAGAATGACAGGTCTATTAAAATAAGCCTACTATTTTGAATTACATATCTCTTTGTTTTTTGTTTTAAATGATTGCATGATTCAATCATGTTTATAAGATTCAATGTATGATAACGCATAAAATTTGGATTGTATTCGTTTTCGAATAGATTAAAGCAAAATTCTTATTCTATATTTGTTTCATTTTTTTTCTTCTTCATTATCTAATTGCTAAAAGAAAAAAATAAGGCATATGACATAAAAAACGACACTCTTTGATATCATTTGTCTTGCTGTTTTCCGTCCATTATAGATGTTGTTTGAAATGCCTAGACGGAAGAATAGCTTTATTGCGATATTCAGTCATGTTGTTTATTAGACTATTTCATATCTTTACAATGTATGGAACTCATATACAACGCAAGTTTATATAGGAGAGAGAAAAAGAGAGATGAATATTAGAAAAAAAAACCATAGAGGGAGAATAAGAAGGAAAAAATATAAGAAAAAAAGGAAATGAAGATATTAGGACAAGAATGATATTTTGCGCAGTGAATTGTAAAACATTTTGTAAACGGTCATACTACAAATTTTTTTCTTGTTCATAATAAATCATGGCATCTGATTCCAAAGTTCTTGTAAGTTAAAATAATATACTTCTTTTGTTTCTCTTAAGAGAAATCGATGTATTTGTAGGTATCTATAGATAATATAACAAATAATACATCATCTTATTCAGGAAATTTTCGTTATTTAATGATTATTCATTATCTGAGTATATATGCTCTTGTCCTTATTATAGTTGGTACTATCGGTAATCTGTTGACAATAATTGTGTTATTGAGACGTAATCTTCGTCGCTTTGTGACTGTTCATTATTTAATAGTTGTTAGTATATGTGATATTATATCATTATATGGATGGAATTTAAATAGCTTTTATAAATTCAATATTAGCCGTTCTCACGGTAATATTGAAGATTTATCTCTTATTCATTGTCGACTTATTTCATTTATGACATTTGCTGCTTTACAATTATCAAGTTGGTGTCTTACAGCTGTTAGTCTTGGTAATAATAAAGAACTACTTTTTTTCAAAAATTATGATTGTTTTTTTTTTCGCTTATAGATCGTGCTCTTAGTCTTTTTTGGCTTCAATGGAAACAATCATTTGGTAGGCTAAGATATACTAAATATTATATAATGTTTCTAACCTTTATTTGTATTGCCGTTAATGCTCATATTTTATTTTTAAATGGTTATCATACACCAACTGGTACAATAGTATGTTACGCGACTCGTTCAAATGCTTATTATATTTATCCAGTATGGGAACGCGTTCATTTAGTTCTCTATAATCTTTGTCCATTTACTATAATGTGTATTTGTAATACATATATTATTGTTGTTACTGTAAGATCAAGCCAAGCACAAGCTGTAGCCGGACCAAATCAAAATTATCGAAAAGGTCTTGAAAAATATCGACAATTTACTGCTTTACTTATTATTGTAACATTCGCTTTTGTTATATTGACTCTACCAGCTTGTATCTATTTTGTATTTTTCCGTAATGCTTTCGCACTAACAACACAACGTAGTTATCGTTTTATGATTCAAATATTATTAAATTCCATTCAATTTACATCACATGGAATCAATTTTTTTCTTTATTGTTTTTCTGCATCAAGTTTTCGTCATGAATTCTATGGGATGCTTCGAGAACTAGTATACCATTGTCATTGTATACGTTGTTGGTCTTGGAATATGACCAGAAAAAATAATCAAAAACGGCGTTATGATAAAAATGATAAGAATGGATCACCTTTAGAACGTCAACGGATGAATCATGCTTGAAACAAGCAAAGGAAGCATTATTAATTTAATTTGCATCGAAGATTCAGATCAATCATTGACAAGAAAAAACAAACTGGATTTATAAAAAACTGAAAAGACTAATAGTAGAAGAAAATAACTTGAGGGTTATACTGAATAGTTAGCAAATTTGATTGCTTTAAATATATTTTCGTTGTATTGATGTTTAGTTAGTGTCGTTCCGTTAAAAATAGAATGTTAACGTGATCCAATTGTGTAAATAGTCATACTATTTAATGTATAGTCTATTTTGTTATCTAATATAATAAGATTATAAGTCTGGCTAACTGGTAATTTAGATAATAAAGACAATTATCGTGTATAGATGTGAATGCTTTCTTATAATAATCGACTTGTATAGGCCCACCCGGTAGTATCTAAAATTTTTCTTATCATAATTCATCTTCAATTATAAAAATGTCAAAAAAGGACTAAAGCAAATACCAAGAGAATAGTTTCATTGTAATATGTAAATTACAATGAACTTTTGAAGTAAGGACACAGGAAGAAGTCAAGCAAATTTTCTTCTGATTGATTCTGAAGAGACTTTGAAACGGATTATTTTTATAGGCTTTTAACTGATTGAGTAATTAGAGAAAATTACATATCAAAATAACCTTTTTGCTAGAGACTGGCAGTTTCAAGAAGTATATGAAGTTGGAAAAGAACGGTCGATTTCGATTAGTAAAAACCAAAAACGATGGTTTCAGTTTCAGCTTCAAAAATATATCTTTGGAACCAGTGACATAATAATAATAATAATAATATACCAAATAGCTGATATCACAATTTTTTTTCTAGAAATTTTTAATTCATATATAATTTTTACAGATTGTTAATGGCTATTATATTTTCGAAAAAGTGATTTCTTCGAAAGAATATACAACAAAGAGAAAGAATGAGAAAATCATGATTGTTAATCAGCTCTATGGTCTTTGCTTTGATAAAGAATCCTACTGAGCTTAAATTTTGTGTAAATATTGTGGATGCCTAGTGACACGTAAAAAGGAATATCAGCTTTATATCTTTGTTCTTATTAGGAGCTTGGGCAATATGAGTAGGCTCATTTTTTGTGCCTGTCACATCTCCAATGACATTCAAGCAACTCATATCAAACACTTCATTCCTTTTTCTTTATTTCACAGATAACATTGAGGTCTAATAACTCTTGTAACTTAATCTTTTTGTTTTCGTCTTTTGCTAGTCTTAATACATATATTAAACCAAAAGAATTCCTTAATAAAACTGAGAAATTTTATGAGAAAAGCCAAGTTTTACTAAAGTTTTTTTCAAAGCTAGATCTTTTTTTTTTTATTTTTTGGTTACGGCCATTTTTTCAAAAAAATGAGCTTTCAAATAAAAAAAGTATTCAAGTTTATATCTTCTTATGATACAAGACAACTGGAGATATGTTTCTGAACAATTGCTGTAAGAAAAATCAACTTTTTTCAACAAAAACGATTTTTTAGACGAAAAATCATATATTATGACAAAAAAAGCTCGGTTTTTGCCGACACATTGCTAAAGGTCATAATAATTAGTAAAGAGCATAACGTGGTATTTAATCTTGCCTTTTTTGAAAAAGTAATTTTTGATGATTCTCGATTTTTTCAGAAGCCTTAATCATACTTACAGCTACTTTTAACTTCTTCCATCTAATTATGGGAAATACACATAATTTATGGCTAACGCAGTCGTAGATTGATCTTTTAGGTTTTAGATTATATGTAACACTTCAAACAGCTTCCGAGATATCACTAAAGAATGCTTGATTCTGAGAGTACGAAAATCTGAATAACTTTTTTCATGTTTGATATATAGAATATGCATGGTTATTCTTAAAAGAAGTAAAGGTTTAAAGACATTTTTGCATATTATCAAATAACAACGACTCAAAACAACTGTATTTATCATATTTTTACTTGATTGTTTTAGTAAATTGAATATAGTAATAATACTATCAACTACAAAGTCATCTGATAAATTTTGCAGTAAGGAAATAAAAGGAAATATTGATGAACTGTTCACTGTTGAATCCTTGTTTATCCCTCCATTATAATGATAGAAGTGAAATTTATTCGTAACTCTTACAACTAATATCTGATTATATTAACTTTCTTGTGGATGATATTGAGTTCCAATAAACAGTTGTTGGTCAATTCATGAAATATTTGTTGAATGAAAATCATATATGTATAAATTCAACAACTAATCATTGTATGAGCGAGTTGTTAATAAATTAATATCTTTCAAAAGTTTGTACATCGATTATTTATGGATACTAATCTGAACATGTATCATATATAATACAGAACTTATTCCGTTGATTGATAGAGGTAAATCATCGTTTTGTTTTTGCACAATATAACTATGCTACAATAATCAGTATCAATGCTTTCGATCACTAACTCCATCTGCGAAAGATCTTGATTCCAGTGATTCTTAACAGTGGAATCCATAACTAAACAAGAAATTTAATTGGTTCCTAAAAAATTGTAAAATACCGAATCCAATAGACGTGGACAGATTTTCTTTCTTTGTTGGCATGTTATGTGTACTCTTTTCTTTTTCTATGAATCTCATTTATTCCACTATAATTCTCCTTTTTTTATTATTATTATTTCAGAGCATCTCATTTGTTTATTTAACTTTTTCTCTCGTTAAAGCATGGTAATAGTTACATAGGAATTTTTGATTTCAATAAATAAATGAATTTATTTAGCCATTGCGCCTTGATGTCAAGCGCAAATTATCAGTTCGATCAGATCGTGTCAAATGTGTTGATCTTCATCCGAATGAACCATGGATTTTAGTGACCTTATTTAATGGTCATGCTCATATTTATAATCATGAAACTCAAGTATAATTCTTATTTATTTATTTTTATTATCATCAGATCTTCTTCTTCTTCTTCATAGCAATTAATAAAAACTTTCGAAGTATGTGATGTTCCAGTTCGTGCTGGTAAATTTGTTGTTCGAAAAAACTGGGCAATTACTGCATCTGTAAGAGTTATTTTTTTTCTAATTATTAACTTCTCACTTCATAATCTATCTAGGATGATATGCTTGTACGTGTTTATAATTATAATACTCTTGAACGTTTACATCAATTTGAAGCACATAGTGATTATATACGTTCAATTGCTGTTCATCCAACACAATCATATATATTAACTAGTAGCGGTATGTGTTATTCTATTTTAATATATTGTTCACTTAAAATATTATTTTTCAAACAGATGATATGACAATTAAATTATGGGATTGGGATGCTAAATGGGCATTAAAACAAACATTTGAAGGGCATATACATTATGTTATGCAAATAGCTATTAATCCAAAAGATAATAATACATTTGCATCAGCATCACTTGATCGTACTGTTAAGGTAAAATAATAGTAATTAATTATTTTCTTTATTTCATATTCAAATTTAGGTATGGCAATTAGGATCAAGTCAAGCAAACTTTACTCTTGAAGGACATGACAAAGGTGTGAATTGCGTCGATTATTATTCAGGTGGTGATAAACCTTATCTTGTTTCCGGTGGTGATGATCGTCGTGTGAAAATTTGGGATTATCAAGTAATTCTTTGTTTGATTGTTTTCTTAAATTAAAACGATAATCGGATATTCTTTTTTTTTTATATAGAATAAAACATGTGTACAAACATTAGAAGGACATTCGCAAAATATTGGTTGTGTTGCATTTCATCCTGAATTACCTATTATATTAAGTGGATCAGAAGATGGTACTGTAAAATTATGGCATTCAAATACATATCGTCTTGAATCCACACTTAATTATGGTCTTGAAAGATGTTGGGCTATAGCATGTTTAAAAGGATCAAATAATGTTGCGCTTGGTTATGATGAAGGAACAATGATGATTAAAGTATTTTGATTTGATAAATAAATAAATAAAAAGATAAAATAAATTTCATTGTTTTTAGTTGGGCCGAGAAGAACCAGCTATGTCAATGGATGCTTCAACTGGTAAAATAGTTTGGGCTAAACACTGTGAAATTCAACAAGTTAACTTAAAACAACTAACTAGTGATCAACAATTAAAAGATGGAGAAAAAGTGCCATTAAATGTTAAAGAATTAGGGAGTTGTGAAATATATCCACAAACATTATCTCATTCACCAAATGGAAGGTAAAATTAAATTTATAGTTTTTTTTCTTAATCGCTTCTTTTTTATTGGTTTTACTTTCTTTAGATTTGTTGTTGTTTGTGGTGATGGAGAATATATAATTTATACAGCAATAACATTACGTAATAAAACCTATGGTAATGCTATGGAATTTGTTTGGTCACAAGATTCATCAGAATATGCTGTACGAGATGGAAATATGGTTAAAGTTTTTAAGAACTTTAAAGAAAAAAAAACATTTAAACCAGAAGCTGGAGCTGAAGGTATGATTCTATAGACAAAGTTTCGATGATCCTTATAAATAAGAGATATGTTTCAACGAAAATTTAACTATTCTCTTTGCTATTACTCTATACTAATAAACAATCAATAAAGGACATTTTAGAAGATCCCTTCTGAAAAGTCACTTTTTTAAAATAGTTTCTCCAGGTTCTTGAGTTTTCTTAATATTCATGTCCATAATAAAATTTAAATTAAGTATGGACAATATTTTGCTTCCGTCGTCATAGCGAAGTATCAACTCCTGGTTAGAAAAATTTTTGAAAAAAAGCTAATAGGAAACGATAGTGTACTGAACAATATGTTTCTTTATTGAAAGCATATTATGAAGTCACTTCAGTGCTTGTTTTCATTATAATCTGAAAAACATTTCAAAGTTCTCTTTACGAAAAACATGTTCTCATGATCATTGGAGCTAATTGAATCGCTCGGATCACGCATAAAGAGATCTTTCTAAAAAAAGGAACATATTCGATAAATTCCATTGTGCATTGATTAAAAGTCTTTTCGTTTTTGCTCTTCCTGCTAGAAACTTAGAAACATTT